CCTTCCTGTACTTTTTCTTCCAAATTCTCTTCCCATCCCATTTCTTTACTTTTCTAGTCAATCTGCCCATTTTTGAGTTCATAAGAGCTATCAACAGACAGACACCTTCCCTTTTCCTCATTGCATTCCCTTACATTCTCTGTTTCCTTACTTACACTTCCTCCTTCTTGTCTTCAAGTTATGGACTATATGGTATGCTTTGCTCTCTACTGTCCTAAAGTTCCTTTGACTCTTTGTCAACTGTTTTCTACCCACCCTGGCCTAGCGGACATGCTAGGCTACTGCCTCTTCTCTGCAATCTTCCTGCATTACCATCTCCATTGAAGTGTGCCATATATAGTCCTCATCTAGACCTGATCTAGTAAAAAAAATGTATTGGTTTCTCACTGTCATGCAAACACTAAAATCAGAATTACAGGAAATTATATTGGTGGGACCTCTGGATACCCTCCAATCCCACCTTCTGCTAGAAGCTGTATTACAGCCAACACTGAATGAAAATCAGCTGGGGCTATTAAGTCAAGTCTTGAAATCCCCTAAAGGCAGAGGTTTTGGAGCTTCCTTGGGAATCCTACCAAAATTGTGCACTGCCTTACCTGACATAGTTCTTGCTGATGCTCACTCCAAACCATCCAGCCACAATTCATGCATGCATTCTGTCATACCATCTAATACTGAAGTCTGGTCCTGTAGCCTATGTAACTCCTGGTTTAGTAGCTATAGATTAGCAGTAGCCTCTTCTTGTCCAGACAAAAGCACAGCTCCCTCATATGTTCCTCATTGATCACAAATCCTAGCCATCCTCCTAGTCTCACTCTTTTTTAGTTTCTCAGTGTCCTTGAACTTGAGGGAGGTGTTGTCTGAAAACTTGTTCCAGGTGCAGCACCAAGGACAAGAAGGTGAATTCACTCTCTGTCTTTTGAAGAAAGTAAAAATATTCTCTCCAAAGATGAATACTTGTCTTACTACCACATTTATCTTCCTTGATGGCTCTGCCAACATTAATTAAGCTGATTAGCTTAATCTTGAAATTATTATCACTTTTACCTTTTCTTCTGATATTTTCACTGTCTCTACTAACTTCTTTTTGTAGTTTCTTTATTACATGATACATGATGATAAGTACATGATTACTTTCTTCTACAAACCTCTACACAATAGTTATGCATTTTCTTCAGCCTTTCTTCCTCCAGCGTGTTTGAAATAACCAGTTTTGAAAATTAACTTCCCTTTACACAGCAGTGTTTTCACTGTGTACCATTTTATGAATACATTTCTTAATTGCCTACATACCACAAATCTTCTTCTGCTCCATCCTGCTAAACCTCAGTTCATATTTTCCCCTGGGATAACTCCAGGTTGTTCGTCTTTCTCTTTCCAGCCCAAGGAATAATATTAGAACTATACTACTTTGTGTTCAAAATAATCTCTTTTCATGAACATAGACCCTTTACATTAATAACCGTTTAGCTTATAATAAATTCATGAAAAGAACATTTAAAAAAGGTTTTTCTGTCAATGGCTGTCTTGAATTTGGGTACCAAATGCTGATTATTGGTAGTAGCTGCATAAATCATCCCTCTTTATTGTTATATTTTTATGCCCTTCAGTTACATTTGCACTGCCTGAGTTTTGGAGGTAAATATCCAAAATATTAGCTGAAAGCTTCCTCAGAAAGCAAATCTTTCCCACATCCTTCCCTGCAGTTCCTCTTTAAGAGGTGTCAGCATGGCTGAGAGAATGAAGTGGCTCCACATTGTTTGCCTGAACTATTATGTGTTTAACATTTCCATAACAAAAGTGCCACTCGACTTCTCCGCGATTAATGCAGCTCGAGGGCTCTTGTCCTCCTTTAATAAAACATTGTTGAAATCATTTATTTAGAGCCCCTGGTTACTAGTGGGAGAATGACCATCTTTGTGCCAAAATATAGTGTATACAGTCCACTATTTTGTAGTAGATCATTCTGTTATTTAAGAAATTGATTAAATGGATGTCTTAGAAAGTATTTATGCTAATAGCGCATTACTTATGTCATTCAGACAGTCAGTGTGAGCCTTTTCAACTGTCTACCACAGCCAATGCCTCGAGTAAAATACAGTAACTTTCGACTTTACTGGTTACCAATCCGTATCGCAAACTCTAAATCTCACACAGAAACACTGCTCTTCCCAGTTGAAAATGTTTTGTTCTGCAAGACTGCCTACTTCTCCTGATGACTCGCAGTGACTTATCACAGGCAGTGTGGCAGTGTGTTGCGTTATTACTGAGGACAGGAACAAAATCAATTGAAAGTCTGAATTTGTTTTAGTGACACTGAAAATACAATGCAACTCAGCCCCTCAAGCTGTGTTTTCCATGACTCAGCTGGTGACAATTTTGTGTCCCACTACTGTCTCTGCTTGCACCATGTCTATTCTGGAGTTGCTCTCATCCCCTTCCAGTGAACTTAAAACAACGATTAAAAAAAAGCAACAAAAACAAACCAAAAAGCAAGTATTCATTCAATTCTGAATGGTTTTCTAACTCACCGAAATGGAACTGCAGAGTTGTCTGCAGTCACCCTTGCATCCTTGCCATGGATATACATTATACACGCATGCTGGCAGTGAGAGATCTGGTACATTGACAGATCTTACAAGGAATGGAGGAGGCACTGCAGCTAAAATCCATCAGACTTTTCAATTAGACAGTAAAAGAATGGCCAAATCAGGTCTTTTCCTCATTGTAAGGATTTGTTTCATAAGAATTTTGAAAGTTACTTATGTCTGTCTGTACATACATCACTGTATATCATTAAAAATAAACAGAGACCTTATTTTATGTCCATTGTGATTGCATACAAAAGCTTTGCTGTGTGCTTGGGTGATCAGTGAAGCTTGAATCTCCCTCTATTTACTGTATGGTCACTGTCAGTTCAATGAACTGCCTCCTTGTTCTCCACCATTGTCCCACACTCCCTTAAACATTTGTCACTGAAGTGCCTCCAAAGACAAATAAACTGTCACCAAGAATTCAAATCTGGTAAGTGGGAATGAAAAGGGAGCAGAACCTACTGGATTATTTTACATGGAATGGTAGAGTTTCTTCCCCCTCAGAAGAGACTGGCTAGACAGGACCTTGGCAAAGAGCACTTTCAAACACCCATACAAACCAGAACTTCTTTTCCTGTGGAAAATCTTCCTCTGTCAGGCAATGTGAGATTTTTTTTTTCTTCATTTAAAACTGTCCTTACTACATCCCTTGACATTTCAAGAATTTCCATTTGTCTCAAAATCAAGCAGAAGAAATACGAATTTGATAGACATCAACATCTGCACTGGCTTTGTAGGCTGGGACACATACCAACACATTCAGCCATTCTTCCTGGAAATGTGCTTACTCTGACAACATGACAAACATGACACAGTTACCTCCATAAGAGAAGGCATTTGTGGGACAAAATTAGTTCAGCTGTATTTATTGTGCAATTATTTAAATTAAAGCAATCCTCTTTCCATGGGGAAGGAAGCATACAGATGAGTCTTCTCCCCCTAGAATTGCTCAGTGTTGATTTATTCCAGGCAGATGATTTTGACAGGAGCCTGTAAAATCAGGTCTTGAATTTATTGTAGATGTTAATTATTAGTTCTTTTCTAGTGCAAATGTCTTTACTCCTTGCTGAAGAAAAATAGAGGCTTTTTAGGTGGGAATTAATTTTTCATCAACAGTGAGTTAGTCCTTGTTGGCACAAGTGTTGGTAAAGTGAAAATGTCTTCCTGAGCATCTCCTGAAGAACCAGAGACTACTTAGGATCATCTCTGCAGAACAGCAGACCCAGTGTTTTGCAAAGAAAGCTGATGCTATTCACAAGTCTTACCCAGATGCTCGGTTCTCTTCTTGAGGAAACAACATTTCCAGCTTTGTTTTAACAAAAAGTTTACTCAACCACTCAGACGACTTTAAAAAAACAAACTTCAGATCACAGCCACACAGCATACTCATATACTTGTTTGAAATCATAGCTATTTGGGGGTCGGTATGCTCGTGCACGCGTGCCTCCGTGTGTGTTACTGGACGATCTTAATCAAGTTCACACCCCCAAAGAAATAATAATCTGTCACTGAAATAACTAATCCAGAAGCGAGGATTTCTAATTTCATTGATTTACACAACAGGCAGATGTGGACTTGCCCTCTGTCAAGATCTGGTAAGATGAAAAAGACACTATCTTGCTAATCTGTTGCCCCCTCAGTCAAAGTTTATTTGTGGTAGCTTTTAAACTTCTGACTTGCCTTCCAATCACTGCATTTAAAATGAAAAGCTTTAAATAAACACCATGAATAAAAGATAAATAAACTTTTTTTTTTTTTTTTTTTAAACTTGTGTGTGTATGCGTGTGTGTGTGTGTGCGCCTGGCTTGACGCAGTCCAAACTCAAATCCCTAGAGGACTGAGCTTTGTCTTTTGTGTTAATGTTTAAAAGATTTTCCAATGCTGGAGTTTATTCCTACTGCAAACATTTCTATTTACAAGGTCAAGTGTATCAGCACTCAACACAGCTTAAGAGTGTAATTATTTATCTAAGGGCGTTTGAGTGTAGATCAGTAGCTCTGGCAGCAAACCAGGCTTCAGCACAACGCAAAGCAACTCTTCAGAACGGTATTACAAGATCTGGTAATTGCTGATCCCCTCCGTTTGTTTACTTTTGTGTTATTCAATGTGGGACAAGACAGGATGAATGATAACTCACGCACATTTTGCAGCACCCTCCTAGATGCACACACCACGGCCTGCATGAAGGCTCTGCATTCTGCGTTTCTCACCGTTTCCTTGTTCGCGTGGCAGGGAGTATTTCTAAGGGTGTCAGTGGAGCAACATGCCTCCACTTCAAGAAGAAAGCACAGTGCACAAGCAATTCTACACACATACAGGGGCAGTGTCCCTGAATCGCTTCACTATCTTCTGGCACCAGCATGTTGCCATGCCAACGCATTATAAAAATCAACCACTCTTTTAAAGTAGTATTTGCAAAGCCGTATTTACTTGTTGCACTTAATTATTCGTTAATGTAAGAATACCAGTAATTTACATCTATGTAAAGTATTACAGGCAGGCATAGATTTTTGCTTGTTGGTTGTTTTTGGTTTGTTGTTCTGCGGTTGGCTCCCGTCCTCCCCTCCCCTGCTCTCCCCCTCCTTCCAATCTCAGGAGCTGAGAGTTCAAGTGTCCCTGGAAAACAATTCCACCACATCCATTATTTAAAGCTCTTTCTTTACTAATTTAAACATTTATAAAGTACAAAAAGCCATACATATTTGAAACACAGGCCTTTGTTATGCCTTCTATAAAAAATACTAGGTTTAAGGCAGCTCAGAAATGTGTACATACAATTCTACAGTGTTCATAAAGTCTCTCCAAATAAGAATGTTAACTCCAAATCTATAAAATACACTGTACATTTGGTGTTCTAGAAAATACATCAGTGAATCGTTGCTGCTGGTATCCCTTTACACATAAAACAAAACCTGTACCTTTCCAGAAATGACTAGCGCATGTGATTACCTGGCAAATAGGATGTGGATTTAAAACTTTTATTTTTTTTTCTTAAATAAATTATCCCCAAAAGCATACAATTTATAAAATTGTATAAACAAAGAAGAGCGACTGGTAACAAATCCCAGTTTTAAATACATCTCTATATAAAGATTTACCAGAGGTCAGCACCCTGATACAAGAGGCAATATAGCTTCTCAGCATATGTGAACATACATGTTCTGAATTTAAAAGTGTCTTTCGAAGATGGCAGTGCAGAGCTCTTTTGGAAGACAAGTTGCATTGTTTGCGACAGCCAATAACTCTCTTTGAGAAGAATCATTTTTGTGTGCCCCTAGGTTAGGAGAGGCGGCTGCCGGCCCGCTGCGTTAGGGCAGACTTGTGTGCAAGAGGCAGCGTTGCGAACCACCTCACCTCGCTCAGCCGGTGCTCTCCTAAGCTCAGTGAGCGGCAGATGCAGCGCAGCACCGGGCACAGCGGTACCGAGTGACAGTCAGGTTGCCGGGCAATAGCTTTGGCAGCAATTTGGGCACCTCGCCTCTTTCCAACCTTCATGTCAAATCGCTACAGACACGCGGCCGTGCCCTCTCTTCCTCTCCCTCCCTCCGAGGCGGCGGGGAGCCGATTTAAGGTCCTTCCCCTCACCTCACCGCGGGCCGCAGCGCCAGGCGGCCGGGACGCATTGCATAGTGCACACGGGGACAGACACGCAGGGGAGGCGCCCGGATAACGGCGGGACTAACTGTCCGCTGCCTGGAAGCGGGGAAGCCCTGCCCGGGGCCGGGGCCGTGGCCAGGGCCGGGCGGGAGGCTAGAGCGGCGGTAGAAGCGGCAGCAAGATGGAGGCCAGCAGCGCCCAGGCCGCGCCGGAGTCCCGGCCGGCACTATCCGCCTGCATGGGGAAGCCGGGCTCCGGGCCCGCATTGTCCTCAGCTTCGTCCCTCCCCTTCTGGCTCGGCTCCTCCTCGTAGTCCTCGTCGTAGTATTCCTCCAGGCCGCCGTCCGAACCTCCGCTGCTGCCCGCGCCGTTGCTGCCCACGTCGGCGCCGAAGCAGAGGCGGGCCATGTTCTCCTTGACCGACTCGCAGATGGGCCGCTCCAGCCCGTCGCAGACGCAGTCGTTGAGCAGCACGGCCTTGGGCACGGCCAGCATGTCCTCGATGACGGCGCGGCACTCGGGCGTGCAGCGCAGCCCGTTGAACAGCTTCCCGCAGTAGGCCATATAGCGGTTGAGCGCCTGGCTGCAGCGGCTGTCCCAGTCACAGCGCCGCCGCGCCTCCGTGCAGCCCATCACGCCGGGGCCACCCCCCGCGCCGCCGCCGGGCCCGCCGCCCCCCGCGCCGCCGGCCGCGGGGCTGCTGGTGCGGGGCAGGCAGGGCTCGATGGCGCGCTTGGTAGCGCGGCAGTTCTCGTCCTGCGCGCAGTCGCAGTCCTCCAGCGCCGGGCCGCGCCGGGTGTGGTTGAGCTGGATGAGGGCCGCGATGCAGTGGCTGGGGCACCGCCGCCGGGAGGCGGCCGAGGCTGCGGCGGCCGCCGGCCCGTCCCCGCCGCCCACCGCCGGCTGCTGCTGCAGGAGCACCGAGGCGCACGCCTCGGCGTACTGGTTGTAAGCGTAGCTGCACTCGGGCTCCCCCTGACACTGCAGCACCGCCTGCCAGCAGATCAGCCGCCGGCCCTGCACCGGAGAGCTCCGGGGCGGCCACACGGCGCCCAGCGCCGCCACCAGCCACAGCCAGGCGGGCGGGCGGGCCGGCATCGCGGGCGGCGGAGGCGGCTGCTGCCGCGGGGTAGCGGGGGAGAGGAGCCGCCGGGCGAGGAGAGTGAAGAAGAGAAGGAGCTGCCGCCGCTCGGAAAGTTTGCAGAACTCCCGCCGGCCGTGCGCATGAGGTCTCCTCGCATCAATCCATCCGCGCGGGCTGCGGCCCCCTGTCGCTGAAAACGGCGGAGCCGCGGTGCGACGCGGTCGCCCCGGGCCGCCCCGAGCGCCGCAGGCGCTGCTCCCGGCCCGGCTCGGTCTGGTTCGGCTCGGCGGCTCCGCGGCGGCGTGGAGCTCAGCGCAGAGCGGCGCGCGGAGGAGCGCGGCTTCTGAGTGCACTTGGGGACTTGAAGGCGGCGTCGGGAGAACTCATGGTGCTGACCCGATCCTCATGCAATTCCGTGTCTCTTTCGCTTTTCTTTTTTTTTTTTTTTTGCACAAAATAAATGCCCGGCTGCTGCCGTTGCCTTCTCGTCAGCTCTTAACTCTCCGCTCGCAGCATCTCTGCACATGCCAGCCGCTCCGATCCCGCAGGCGGTGCCGGCTCTGCTTGCTCCCTTGGGCTCGGGTCGCACTTCGGGCAGCAGAGAAGAGAAATTTCTCCCCGTCAGCGCGAAGGCAGCGCGGGGAAGGCAGGAAGGCCGGCTTCGAGGTCTCTTTCTCTCTGGGCGACTGATGCTGCTGCTGCTGTTGTCAACAAGCCCTGCAAGCTGTTCTGCGGATCCGTCTGCGGATCTTTTTTTCTTTGCAAGGCTTTAAATACAAAAGTGCCTTCCGAGCAGCGGCAACGTGCTCTGATTAGGCCTCATTATGCATGCATGGAAAAGCAAACAAACAAAAAAAATTAGCAACGCTTCTTCTTTTACACATCCCCCAGCCTGCACTCTCTTGCTCTCTTTCTCCTTTTCTCCACTTTTTTCTCCCTTCGCTCGGCCCCCTTTTCCAGCTCTGCGACTTGCCATTGGCCCAGCCTGTTGTTGAAACTTTTTTTTTTTTTTTTTTTCCTCCCCTCCCTCCTCTCTTTACGATCTGCTGGAGTGAGGGAAGCGAAAAGGGGGGCTGGAGGGCAGCTCACATTCAAAGCTTGAAAGGAAAGGCTTAAGGAGAATGACAGCCCCCCCGAGGAGCCCCTCCTCCCGTTAAGGCGGCGCGGTCCTGCGCAGCCACGGGGCGAAGGCACATCCCCGAGCGGAGCGGAGGACGCGCTCCGTTCGGCTCACGTGGGGGCGAGGCTGGGGCTCCGGGCTCCGGAGTGTGGCTTTGTCCGTTCTCCGTCCCGATGTGCTGGTAGCGGGGTCCTGCAACCATGTAAGTACTGCGGCTTGCTGCGTCCTCAGCAATGCCACTTAATACACCCTACCAATGGTACACACACCAAGCTCAGCTTACTGCCTTCAGTGGTTGTGCGCGGACGTAGGATCCTGACCAGCGGAAGTGCTGCGAGGATCAGTGTAGTTGTGTGGTACTTCGTGCAAGTCTGCCCACCAATAGAAGCTGGTTTGAAACCTGCTAGCTAAGAGGATTTTCACAGAAAGAAAACCGCCCTGCCCACCTGTTGTACTCTCCGTGCTTTTAATTTGCTTTTAAGGAACTAGACACGGCAGTGCTCACATCCAGGTGCAAGGAGAGGAGCAAAACAAAATGAACAGTGCCGCGTTTACCCTCTGCCTTTCAAGTTCGTGCTACCTTAATTCCAGAGCACCATCGCCTCCGACCGCCAGGGGCAGCGGAATCTGCTGCCTGTCAAAACTGGCGCTTTTTTTTTTTTTTCATCCTGAGACTATCAACTCCATCTGTCACAAAAATTAGGGCTAAATGTATTTCCCAGAAACTCGGGGATCCGAGCGCTGCGAGATGTCTGAGAGCACGTGGAAGGGTGGGAGACGGTGTGGTGCGTCCGGGGCCAGTGTGATGGATGTGCTGAGCGGCCAGCACACGCGCTCACTCCATTGTGGTCGCTTTTAACGCTGCTAGTGGTCCTTCCTCAATACGGCTTTGCCCTTTCTGGTGCAAACGATGAATTTGCTCCCAAATCCATGAAAACTGCCTTCAGAGCAGCCATCCAACTAGTTTTTTTGCCCTTTATTTTAATCCTTGTTTAATTGCGTGATTAATAAAGTCAAATGCCATTTAGGCAGAGTGCAGTACATGCATAGTGCCAGCTGCCCGGGTTTGCAAGTTCAGCCTGGTGGCTGGAGAGAGCGACCCGGGCTGTGCCCCATGGAGATGGGGGGACAGGCTTCTTCCACGCGTACGGGGGTGAGACTGCAGGGCAAGATCCTTCGATGAGGAACCAGGGGGCCTTCCGATCTTTCCCAGCGGGGGAGAGTTGGAGCCGCTGTGTCTGTCACAAAGGGGCTGCCCTCTGGACAGCCAGGCGACGTGCTCTGCTTCCACGCAGTTCCTGCCTCCATCTGCAAAATCCGTCGTGCGGCGCCTAATCCTCGCCTCGAAGCACACGGGGCCGTAACTTTGCGAGGAAAGCAGCCGCGGAACTTCAGAGCCCCAGGAGGGGGAGCATAGGAGCCTTCGCTGCAGCGCTGCGTCCCAGTAGGGACGAGACGGCCGCGGAAGGCGCAGCCGAGCGCAGGGAATGGACATCTTGCGCACACCGCAGCGGTCGGGAGGGCCGAGTACGAAGCAGAGGTGCGTGCAACTCTGTGATGCCCCTCAGCTAAGGAAGGAGGATTTCCTACATTAATAATGGTATTAATAATGGAAATGCTGATTTGAAGCTTAGAATTTTTATTTCCTTTCAAACAACTGAGCAAGTCTTATGGCAAAATGCGGCATGTGCAGGGTGACCGGGGGATCAGGCCTAGCCAGCATGGGTTCGTGAAGGGCAGGTCCTGCTTGACCAACCTGATCTCCTTGTATGATCTAGTGACCCATCTGGTGGATGAGGGAAAGGCTGTTGATGTGGTCTACCTAGACTTCAGCAAAGCCTTTGACACTGTCTCCCACAGCATTCTCCTGCAGAAGCTGGCAGCCAGAGGCTTGGATGGATACACTCTTGGCTGGGTAAGGAGCTGGTTGGAGGGCTGGGCACAGAGAGTGGTGGTGAATGGAGTCAAATCCAGCTGGCGACCGGTCGTGAGTGGTGTTCCCCAGGGGTCGGTGCTGGGGCCTGTCTTCTTCAATATCTTTATTGATGACCTTGATGAGGGCATCGAGTGCACCCTCAGTAAATTCGCAGATGACACCAAATTGGCTGGAAGTGTGGATCTGCCTGGGGGTAGCGAGGCCCTACAGAGGGATCTGGACAGGCTGGAGAGCTGGGCTGAAGCCAATAGGATGAGTTTCAACAAGGCCAAATGCCGGGTCCTGCACTTTGGCCACAACAACCCCAGGCGACGCTACAGGCTTGGGGCGGTGTGGCTGGAGGACTGCGTAGAAGAAATGGACCTGGGGGTATTGATTGATGCTCGGCTGAACATGAGCCGACAGTGTGCCCAGGTGGCCAAGAAGGCCAATGGCATCCTGGCTTGCATCAGAAACAGTGTTGCAAGCAGGAGCAGAGAGGTGATTGTTCCCCTGTATTCAGCACTGGTGAGGCCGCAGCTTGAGTACTGTGTCCAGTACTGCAAGAAAGATATTGAGGCTCTGGAACTTGTTCAAAGGAGGGCAACAAAGCTGGTGAGGGGTCTGGAGCACAGGCCATATGAGGAGAGGCTGAAGGAGCTGGGATTGTTCAGCCTGGAGAAGAGGAGGCTCAGGGGAGACCTCGTTGCTCCCTATAACTTCCTGAAGGGAGGTTGTAGTGAGCTGGGGGTCGGCCTCTTCTCTCGTGTCATTAGTGATAGGACCAGGGGGAATGGCTTCAAGCTACGGCAGGGGAGATTCAGGCTGGACATGAGGAAGTATTACTTTTCAGAAAGGGTGGTCAGGCACTGGAACGGACTGCCCAGGGAGGTGGTGGAATCACCGACCCTGGGGGTGTTCAAGGAAAGGCTGGATGTTGTGTTGAGGGACATGGTTTAGTAGGAGCTATTGGGAATAGGTGAACGGTTGGACTGGGTGATCTTTTAGGTCTTTTCCAACCTTGGTGATTCTATGATTCTATGATTCTATGAAAATAGCTGGCATTCCACTTGTCGCACCTTTAACCATCTGGAGTATGATCTGACACATCTAGGTTTATATATCCTTTGAAAAGAAGTTACCATAAAGTGCTTAAAGACATACCAGTCTGGCATTTGGATTCTGTCCCTGTTTGTGCTGTTTGGCACTTGGGGGCTTTGGGGTGCGTGGTGCTCTGTTGGAGGAAGGAAGTCTTGCCTTCTGTGAATCTAAACCAATGGAAAAAATCTCTGACCTCTCTTCTTGGCTTCAGGTTTTCAAGCAGTAGAAGCAGTTTTGCCAAATTCAGCTTTTGGGTTTTCAGAGTAGACTTAAGAGTATGCGGGAAAGCCACTCTTTTTCACAAAGAATCATTTGGAAAATATGTCATGACTGGACAGTAAAATAGGATCTGGTTGTTATTTGAATTCTAAAATAGGCCATCCTTTTCTGTAAAACAGTCAGTGTTGTTCTCTAATAATAATTTTCCAAGCTATTACAGAATAAGTCTTCTACCACTAACAGTCATTATGGCAGATAGAAAAGGAATCTCCTATTGGTTGTGGCACTTTTTTTTTTAAGCCTGGTATCTTTTCCTCTGTTTTATCTTAAGCTCTTTCCTGGTGGATCTTCTCATCTCTTAGTTTTTCATTCTTGCAGTGTTAAAAATTATCTGACCTATTTTACACTGGGAGTTGTAGTGCAAATGCTAAGTCGTGGCTTGAAACAGTGATTGAGCATCTGTTGGGAAGGCAGGAACAACCAAGGGGAGCTCAGGTGCATGCAGTGCACCTGAGTGACCGGAAGGGGTGGGACTAGGCTCCATCCCTTCCCAAATCTCATGTAAGGGTTGGTGGTACTTCTGTGAGAAAGGTACTTCTGTGGAGGTCCCTGCATATCTGAAGCCTTCTGTAGGCAAGCAGTTTCTTTCCCTTATTTCTGTGCCCACTGCTGTTGCATTTGAGCAAATCCTAACATGCTGTAGCCTGGGATCTTGCTGTTCTGTTGTCACTGTTGTGCTTTCCATCATGTTGCAGGAGTATATAGAAAATGTGAAAATAATAATCATAAAAAGATAGTTTAGCTTAAAATTTAGCAGTTCACATTCACATAAACATTAAATTTGGTAAATTTCTCTCAAATTCCAGCAAAGGGAACATTGTGGTTGGTATCTACTACAGGCCACTCGGTCAAACGAAGCCTGTCAATAAGGCCTTCTTACTCCAGCTACAGGAGGCATCTTGATTGCAAGCATTTATCCTGCTGGGGGACTTCAACCACGTGGATATTTGCTGGAAAAGTAGCATGGTGAGATGGGCAGTCCAGGAGGCTCCTGGAATGCACTGAAGATAGGTTCCAGAGCCAGAGTAATAGATGGGGGATGCAGTACTGGACCTGTTTCTCATCAGTGCAAATGAGCTGATTGGTGACATCAGGATTGGAAGCTGGCTGACTTGTAGAGACCATGCTATGGTTGAGTTCATGCTCCAGAGGAATATGAGACAGGCAAAGAGTAAAATCAGAACACTAACTTTTAAAAGGTCTGCTGATGACACCAAGCTGTGGAGTGTAGTCAACACACCAGGGGAATGGAATGCCATCCAGAGGTACCTAGACAGGCTTGAGAAGTGGGCACAGTAGAAATGCATAAGGTTCAACAAATGCAAATACAAGATCTTGCACCATGGCCAGGCAATAATCACTATCAATACAAGCTGGGGAATGAAATGATTGAAATGAGCTGTCCTGCAGAGAAGGATCTGGGGATACTGGTAGATGGTAAGCTGGACATGAGCCAGCAATATACCTTTGCAGCCCAGAAGGCCAACTGTGTCCTGAGCTGCATAAAAAAATGGGGGCCAGCAGGTCAAGGGATGTGATCTTGCCCCTCTACTCTGTGCTAGTGAGGCCTCACCTGGAGTACTGCATTCAGATGTGGAGTTCTCAGTGTACAAGAAACATGGACCTATTGGA